GAATAATCATGCTAAAAGAAATAATAATCATGGTTATGATAATGGTCCATATTTCCTGGGCATTGCTAAGGAATTACAGAAGAAGTACAATATACCCTTCACGCCAGGAATTTGAAATTCCTGCCTTTGCAGACCCTTAAAGAAATGTCTCATACCACGAACACAGTCAGAGCTTCTAATAAAGTGATTCAAAGTAGCACAGTAAAAAATTATATAAGTATATTACCCAAATGATCAATTTATTACAAATATCTAATAGATTTTGATCAACTTTAGAGGATTCTTTAGAAAAAAATTTTTTTTTAAGTTTATTTTTGAGACAGAGAGAGACAGTGTGTGAGCAGGTGAGGGACAAAGAGAGGGACAAAGAATCCGAAGTAGGATCCAGGCTCCGAGCTGTCAGCACAGAGCCTGACCCAGGGCTTGAACTCACGAGCTGTGAGATCATGACCTGAGCTGAAGTCAGTTGCCCAACCGACTGAGCCACCCAGGAGCCCCCAACTTCAGAGGATTCTTAATGGCGTGGACCCATGAAATTCTTACTTTCTAAACTAAGAGAAAAACATGATCAAAGTTCCTAACAAACTCTTTTGCTGACACTGTCAGTGTTAAATGGTAGCTTGGTAGGTAACTGGGTGCAAGCACCCGGCTGTGCTCCGGGCAGCTGCTGTCAGGGGAGACCGCTCTTGCCATGAAGGAAGCCAGGAATGGGCAGATACAGAAATGCCCATCAGATTTCCCTATCAGATCTGTGGAGCAAGACTTTCATTCTGTATTTTCAACTGTGGTTTGGTTTTATATATTTACTTAAAGGTTTTAAAAATGCTGAACGGCCATTAATTTTTCAACACAGATAACTGTACTGAAACTCAAAATGAGAAAATTAGAAATCCAAATAACTTTTTTTTTTTTTGGACATGTGCTAGATTATGGGAAGACAAAAAAATTCCTTTACTGTGATTGCCAGGAAAAAGTCTTTTCTATTTGGAAACTCAAGAACCTCAAATATAATAGTTTACTTATACAAATTGAAAAAGAAGATTCAACTTTAAAATGTTAACAGTATTAGGAGTATCTTGGTATAAAATTTGCACAGTTCATAGCACTAGGTATCACTTCTGCAAAAGAAGATCCACATTTATATCTTGCTTAGGAAAAAAATGAAAAGATGGGGGAATAATGTATCTTTCATAATAAAAATGGTCATTATGCAAAACAACTTGCAGGCTACTGAAATAACATTTTTCTACAAAATTTTATAATATCTCTTTCTCGTACGTGCCATGCCCTGTACTAATCATGGCAGTCCTGTGCCAACGGTAACATTATCCTTGCTTTGCAGGCAGCAAAATTGGCTCAGAGCAGTTACCTAATTTCAATTTGCCCAGGGTCCCACATTCAGAATAGGGCAGAACTGTAACATTTAATGGAATAATTTAAGTGCGTTTGTTAAAACTGCCACTCGATGAAATATATACCCACAATCTATTTATTGTTGTATTATTTCCTGAGACATTACGTTCCTACTAAGTTTATTGCTTAAATGTTAATTATTTGTTTGTGCTGATGGAATGGGAATCCCATAGTGTATCCTCATCAGTACAATGTGAACACACAGGATGCTTTTCTTTTCTGTGACAATGGAAAATAAATAATGATTTATCTGCAGGTGTTCTAGCACATCTCATGATTTCCTTGAAATCTCAGCTGTGGATTTTATGACACAAGACCTGAAGGAGCTATGCAAAGTGATGTGTCCTTTCCTGCTGAGAAGCAAATGAGTGCACCAGAGAGGGTCTGACCCCAACGGCCAGATTTGTAAAGTCACCACTTAACTCCCTGGGAGAACAGCCTGCCCCTGCCAGCAGGGAGAGAATGCATGGCGGTCCAGAGCTGGATAAGTGAGTGCTAATCCGTCAGCCAGGGTTTGCCTATGATCTTCCACACCACACTGTCACCTGAATTGCTAAGAACCTTTCTAACTACTTTACTTTAAAAATACCAGGTAAGATCGATTACTGCCAAATTTAAAACTGATATACAATATATATTTTCTAAAGGGAAACCCTTAATTGAAAATTACTCTGTGACTTAATTCTCAAGTGTTTATGGAGCACTTATGGGGTAGGCAGTCTGCTGGGCATTGAGAGAGGCTGGCAAACCAAAATACATAGACACGGACCTGCTTTCCTGAAATTGAGTATTCCCTTGAGAGTCCTAGCTATGTTTGGTCCAGTAGAAATAGGGAGTGCAGGTACCCCTTGAGGCAGTTATGTCTTAGGGTTGCCACTCTGAAAATTCCAAAATGCAAGTAAATGCCATTGGCTTAACAATACATGATGCAGCACGCTGACTATCTTCGGTATTTCCCTTTACTTTTTTATTCTTGAGATTACTAGTTCTATCACTCGATACCCGCAACACAAAAAGAACATGCTCATCCCAGTTGGAGAAAAATTATGAAAGAGATGAAAACAAGAAGCGTTGCTGTCGTAAGCTACGTAAGATGAAAGCTTACATCCAGACAAAAAGGATCATGTGACAGGTCAAGCATGGCTTGACATGCTTTTGCTTTGACGTCAGAGGTCTCACCTCTGATTTCTTTCAAGAGTCAGAAAAACCATCTACTACCTGTAACCCATGTTGCTGACAAAGGCCTACACGTCTACAGGGACTAGGAAAATGCTTCCATGGAGGCTCTTGTAGTGTTGTGAACAACCATGGCCCAGTTCTGGAGCCACTCTTGATGGCTTCCTCTTTCTCCAGGGACCACATGGGAGAAGTCTCCCTGAATTTCTCTCCCATAACATGGGTGGCAATGGCACCCCATCCCCTCTTACCTAACTCTTATCCTGGCCTGCTGCCTGCACCCCACGACTCTCCAGCCTTCCACACTTGTCTATGGTCGGTTGCTTTGACACATCATACCTCTCTTAAAGGGCTGATGAAGTTGCTTCCCTTACCTGTGGAGGCAAATTCTCAAACCTGGCCCAGCTTTCCACAGTTGACCTGAGACTATCTTTCCAGTTTTAATGACAATCACCCCCCACTGTCATTTCTTTGCCGTTTCCTTATGAATACTGTGTCACCATTTAAAAAGAATTAGGTAGCTTCACACACATTATTGGAGAACAACTGCTAAGATAATATTAAGAGACAAAAGCAAGGTATAAAGTAGCATGGATAGTGTGCTGTAATTTGTGTTCAATAACAAAGCACGTGCACATAGATATACACAAATATCCCTCAGACATGGCAGAGTATCTTGGGATGAACACTTGGAAACTGGAACAGCGGTTGTTCCTAGGGAGGTAAACTGGGTAGTGTGGGTGTAAGAATGGGAGACTCAGTTTTTAACGCTTGTACCTGTCCCTTTCTGTAACCTGGATTTTACCCTATGTATCTGCATTTATTCAAACAAAATACTTTAGACAATTATAGCCTTTTAAGTTCAGTGTTCCTCTTTTATGCCCCCAAATATACCTTGAACTTACATGTATTAACTTTCTGCTTCAAGGATTCCTCCATTACTCAACCACTCATCTCCATCTAACTCACGGTCGCTTACTTTATAAACACTTCCAAGCCTCACAATTGTGTCATAGCAATATATCCACCTTATCTATGCATCTGTTTGGTACTGTTACTTATATGCATTTTACTTCCCTTATTATCTGTAAGCTTTTGAAGGGTATGGCTATCTTAGTTCTGGTTTTTCATAACACTGTAACTTGAATAAACTCAAAATTAATAATATGATGGGTGGGGAACAGAGACAACTGTGAGCCCTAAGTGGCAGAGTCCGCTGAGTGCTTACCCAGCGGTGTGTCCTCGGAGCCTAGCAGAGGCCTGCTGAATGAATAAATAAAAAGGACATTCTTCCAACCACAGGCTAGGTGTTTTTTGTTTTTGTTTTTTGGTTGTTTTTAGGATTTTAGGATTTTAGGTGTTTTTAGGATTAAAGCGTGGTTCACACAATATGCTTATTAATAAAGATGTGACCAACTTTCATGGTTTCGAAATCAAGTATTATTCTTTAGGCTACAAGTTTCTCAAAGGTTTCACAAGAAAGGGAAAAGGATCCCAAGGATTGTCTTGAGGACAAATAATGAAGAGATCGTCATTCCAATTTAAAAATCGGAAGTCAAATACTTCTGACCTGTAATTTCTGTTTGCCACCTGACTTCTAAATGTCTGCCTCTTCACCATCCTTTCTACATACCTGGCCTCTCGGCTTCACCCACGTCCTTAATTATCAGGTTTTCTCTGCCCTTTGCATCACAATGTCTATTTCAAGCAGTTGTATAGTCACCTCCCCTGTTCTGTCTTCCACCTTAAGTTACAAACAGTCACCTTTTTACTTTAAAATTCTTAACAGGTCATTTGACCTGCATATTTAAAAAAAATTTTGGGGGGGGGGTTAACTTCTATTTTACACGGTACACCTCACAAATCTTTCCCTCTTTCCCAAATATAACTTTGTGTGATCACAGCCATGAAAAAAGGAATTTATATTTCAGCCCAGAAGTTAGGACATTAAAAAAAACAACGTGGCTTTCCTTTTAGGAATGCTTATTTCATGCTGTCCAATAGGTTTCACAGATAATTTTTTTTAAGAGAAGCAAAATACACATTAACACTGGAAGCTAAAGAAGATATTAAATGTTAACATACAAAATTCCCAGGTAGACATGAACAAATTGCAGTCACTCAGTAACCTCCTGACATAATGCTTCTGCAAAGCAGAAAAAGTTTTGTCTCACGCCATCAAGCAAATCATTTAGCAACTTCTTTTAGCGGTCACGGACATAAAGCTGGGATCTATTTACAACAATGTGGTTCAAAACAATATGCATTATGTTACAGCAGAGCAAGAGTAATAAATCTCTTTTAACCTAAGGAAGATCAAATATTTTTACAGCTATTTGAATATAAAATAAAATATAACAAGATGGTTAAGTTATTAAAGGAATTTTTTTTTAAAAGATAATTTTACTTACATCAAGAGAGCCTTCATTTATAACAATCATTCCCATGTTCTTCCTCAAAAGTTTGCAGGAGTGTCCTATGTCCAAACATAGAGTAGATTAATTGATATAATTCATTTCTCTACAGAGCAGTGGCGAAGATGTTAAAGTGATAATACTGTAAAAATATCAAATTTTATTTACTTTTAATCTATTTTATTAGATAAAACTAAAGCTTTATCTATTTTATTAGGACCGGTGATAGTTGTTTTCCAGGTTTGCAGAAGTTAAAAAAGAAATGCTCTTGCTTGTTATAGGAGGGCTACAAGGATAATATTTGGCAAGTTAAAGCTGCCTTGAGAAACAAGTATGGAAAGAGAACGTGGTAGTGACTCTCAATGTCCTGAAAAGCACCACACTTATATGGAACATCCTTCATGATGACCAACATGAGGAGATGGCTGTTTTTGGAGAAGGGTGCTAAAGGTTGTCTGGCTATCTTGTGGACCGTGGATCCCACCACTGTCCCCCTGCCCTTGGACTACCGTCATATCCTCTACCGTCCTGCCTTTCCTTGCTTTGCTGTACTTGCAGCAGGGCAAAATCACCTGCTGGTTAAACTGACACTGCCTACTCGGAATCCATTTGTGTACAGCTGAACTTGGTTGGAGAAAACAAGGAACCCGGCTGGCTGGTGTTTAAAATATTACCATCACATTTAAAATAGTATCATCTACCTTACTCCTTTTGTGATCTCTTTCGATATATATATATTTTTAAATGTTTATTTTTTATTTTGAGAGAGAGAGAGAGAGAATGAATTCCAAGTAGGCTCCACACTGCACTGTCAGTGCAGAGCCTGATGTGGGGCTTGAACTCACGAACCGTGAGATCATGACCTGACCCGAAATTAAGAGTCAGACACTCAACTGACTGAGCCACCCAGGTGCCCAGATACAATGGTTTTAAATACCATCAAAACAGTGACCATTCTGGAACTCATATCTCCTACTTAGAGCTCTTTCCTGAACTCCAGACTCTCATATCCCAGTGCCTATGTAAGAGCAGACACTTAGGTATAAAACAGGCATCTCAAACTTAACATATCTCAAAACTGGATTCTTGATCTCCTCCCAGAAAACCTGCTTCCCCTCGGTCTTCCTTATTTTGGTTAATGGCAATTCAATCCTTCAGTCACAACAGCTACGATGCCTTGGAATTATTCTCCAGTCCGTTCTTTCTCTCATACCTCACATCTAATCAATTAGTCAATCCTGTGGGCTCTACCTTTAAAATATATACATATTCCAGCCATTATTCACCACTTTCACTTTACCATCCAAGTCCAAGTAACCAACATGCCTCACCTGGATTGATATAACAGCCTCTTCACTGGTCTCCCTGCTTCCACACCTGCTTCCCTCCCAGCTCATTCTCAGCCAGCCTAGCGGCCAGACTGACTGTTCTTGCAGGAAAGTCGGTCCACATCTTTCCTCTGCTCAGAACCATCCAGTGGCTTCCCATCTCACTCGGAGTAAATGCAAGGCCTTTACAGCAATCTGGGAGGCCCTGTCATGCGGCTGACCTGCTCTCCTGCTCCCTGCTTTGCATTTCTGCTCTTTTTAGAACAGTAGATAGCTTTCCCTAATCATCCAACGACAAGCTCCCTTTCCTCTCTTAGGTCATTTCTCAAAGGTCATCCTCTCAATGAGTTCTTCCTGACCTCCTGATTAAAAACTGAATCCTTCTGTGTAATGCCCATTTGCTGTATGAATGAAACGAATGGATCTCACCTACTTTATCCTAGGAAAAAGACCCCAAAGATTATGGCCCAAGACTCTAAAAGTTAAATGTTACCAAACGCCACCTCCATACTCTTCATAGGAACTGTCATAATGGCTCCGTCCCTCAATTGTTCTCAGCAGCACTTATTTTCCTCACATATCACTCTCTGCCACCCTACAGTCTTCCTCTAGCTGTCACCATGCTTTTTGTTCAGCCTATTTCTGTTTTTCAGGTCTCCCAACTCTAAAGTATTCTTGTACATCATCTTTCCATTTGTGTCTAACACCAGTGATACTTTTTGTAATCAAAATTAACCATTTGTTTGGCTTATAGATTTACACGTATACTAGCATCTTTTAAAAATTAATTGTCCTCTACCTCCAGCAATTTGCTATAAATCTGTTGTAGTTTTTTGTTTTTTTTTTTACATTTTCTTTTTTATTTTTGATAGACAGAGAGAGAGACAGAGCACGAGTGGGGGAGGGGCAGAGAGAGACAGAGACACAGGATCCGAAGCAGACTCCAGGCTCCGAGCTGTCAGCATAGAGCCTGACACAGGGCTGGAACCCACAAACCGCGAGATCGTGACCAGAGCCGAAGTCAGATACTCAACCGACTGAGCCACCCACGCGCCCCTCTGTTGTAGTTTTATATTTACAGAATGCTGCGATTACTAAAATTTCTAAAAGGAGTACTAGCGAAATGTTTCTTAAATAATGATACTTGATACAGACTTTCTAAAAATGTGATTTCATGCTGTCAATACCTTTGAATGGTTTCTTCCACTTTGGTAGAGTTTTGGATGTAATTCATAGGATTTATATCCAGAGGTTGAATCTATGTCAGGGATTACAGTGCTCAGGCAAACTATTATTACCGAATTTGGAAGAAAAAAAAAAAAGAGTGACATTTCCTTGCATATTACTGGTATACGGGCCTTAAACCAAATACCAACTTTCTTCTCAGTAAGACCTCTGTTATGCACAGGGTTGTGTCTCCTTAGTTTTACATGTTAGAACCTGAACCCATAATGTTTGGAGATTGGGTCTTCCAGAAGATTGAGTTACACGAGGTCAGAAGGGCAGGTTCATGATCCAATAGGACTTGTGTGCTTATAAGATGAGAAAGAGACACCAGGAGTGTATACCCGCAGCAGAGAGCCAGCTGAGGACACAGTAGGGAGGCGGCCATCTGCAAGCCAGGAAGAGATGCTTCGGGAGAAACCAAACCTGCGGACAATCTTGGACTTTCCAGCTTCCAGAACGGCGAGGAAATAAATTCCTGTTGTTTAACCCACCCAATCTGTGGTATTTTGTTATGGCGACATGAGCTGACTAATAAAATCTCTTTGTGAAAAATGACACGATTGCAGGATGAATGAAAGCTGGCAACATTACCTCCCATCTCAGAAATAACCTTTGGTCACATAAACAAGTGCCGATACACGAGTCTGCCACGGTCCCTATCTCCAGACTTTCACAGACAACTGCGGACATGTTATCTACATGTGTCAATTATGGATGGAAGGTGGGGGGAGGCAGAGATAGAAAGGTGAGAGAGGGTTACTTTGTGATTGCAAGAGCTGAAGTTTGCAGGTATATACAACCACTGCAAATTTAAAGGGACATTGGGACCATAAATGAACAGATAAGCCCAACAATATTATAAATATGGAAATCTTACAAAACCAAATCTTTCAAATCTTGAAATATCTCAAATTTATCTTCTAAAATACGTCAAACTGTTAAAAAGCATCACGATTTAAAGGTTGAATTAGGTTAATTACCAATGTTAATGGCAGTTTCTTGTTTGTCCCCTGTAAGGATCCAGATCTTGATGTCTGCTTTCATGAGAGTTTCTATGGTTTCAGGCACTTGATCTTGTAATTTATCCTCAATGGCTGTAGCTCCAAGTAGCTGAAGATTCTAGGGAAAATGAGCGGCAAAAATTTTAAGAAGAAAACCCATTTAGATTCTTTAAGAACTAAAGTATGTATACGTTTTTCAGAGAATAATGGTAATATGTAGACTTTGATGTAAATTGCAAGTATCCCACTGAGTTTTCTCTTAAGGATCCCTGACTTTAATCCAGTACTTTGACATGAAACTGAAGATACCTATATTACCTTACTCCTAAGGTAGGCAACTGATTCTTACAAAAACAAAAAATGAAACAAAAAGCCACACACAAGGGAGAAATCAAAAGGGAGTTAAAGACGAGCAGGCAGCTACAAAAAAACAACAACAAAAACTATGGAAGATCAACACAGCAAAGAAGCAATGTTCATGACCTGTTTGAAAAAGAGTAGGAATAAATGCTTATGAAAAAATAAATGCTTATGCAATTAAATTATAATTTGATGCAGTGTCAGAAAACGTACACATAGCAGACAATTAGAAATGCTGAGGAAGGGACAAATAAACCAAGCGACAGCATCAGTCTCTGTAAGAAAGAATAGGTTGGGTAATTATCACATTACTCCATATTTCTGCTGTGGAAGGCCAGAGTCCATTAAAGATTGCTTGCTCACTAGTTGGTATGTTTCATACAAGACTGAACATAATATGTTCTGCAGAAAGCTCTTGTAATCACTCAGAAAGAAGAATGGTTTCTACTCTCATCTTCCTAAATAGAGGAAAAATGAGAACAACTCTTTGGTTGTTAGGGAAACCTGGCTCACTACAGAGGTACAGGGGATGGTTCTTGGTCCTAAATACATAGGAATGCAAACTGACAAACTAAGCCACAATCAACTGATTCTTGGATTTTCCCTGTAACCTAACCACCAGGATGATCCTCTACGTCAACATTTATCTTTCTTTTCAAGCTGTTTCTCCCTTCTCGCCTTCATTTTTATTTTAAAACACCAGACAAGGACAGTATAGATATAAGGGAAATCAAGTGCTAAGGATAGTGTCTAAATTGGTAATAACAAAGAAAGCATTCCATCTTCTTTCTTCTAACATTAAGTTCTGCTTACTATTTACCAAAGTGTAAGTTTAAAATTAGTCCTAAGTCTTGGTAGGCATGGGAAATAAGGTTAAAATATATGTAAGCAAACATGAGTGAGTGAGAGAGGGCTTATGGGTATATTACTTAGGAATGCTTCTGGCTATAATAGAAAAAAGTCTAACTAACAATGGCTTAAATAAAGATTTGGTTTTCCTTCCCTAAGTAGTATTGGGATAGGCAGTTACAGGCATTAGACTGACAGTTCAAGTCACTTTCCAAGACTTTCTCAATGTCTCAAGGTGGCTGCCACAGCTATAATTATCACTGCCACAACTGAAGACAAGAATAAGGGGCAATGGCAACTGTATCCATCTCTTACTTGAAAGCAAAAGTGTTTCTAAAAGTCCCTAGCAGATTTCCAAACATGGCCATTTTTGTTTATTTATATTTCCATGGCCATGCTTCACTATCAGTACTGAGCTTTTCCAGCCTTGATAGCGGGATGACAAGACAGAGGAGGATGGGAACGGGTGTTAAATTAGCCAGCCAACAGTCTTTGCCACAATGCTTAAATATAGCTGGGCGTGCATGTGCACAGGTGTGTATGTATACGTGCATGTGTCTTTGTGTGCATGTACGTATACAGAGGCACACACATCCTCCACTGCTTTGCCTGGGGAAACCCAGCTCATCCTGCAAGGCCAGTCTCAAAAGTTAACTGCTTCCTTGAAGCCGTACTTCTAACACAAGTCTTCTCCTCTACGGTGCTCTGACAGAACTTTGCTCGTCTTTACTCATTTCAATGTACCATATTCAGATTAACTGTTTCAATGTACGACCCATAGTTTTGTTCGAGAGGAGGCACCACATCTTGTTCACCTTTACACTGTATCTCTGGAACACTGGCAGTCAGCATTCAGTGTTTGCTGAGTGAACGACAAAAAAAAGTTAAGAAAGAGTCCGAAATCTAGATATTATCCAGTACTGTTGCAGTCTAGACTACATTCTTTTCAATATATTCCAAATACATTATACAGCTATTAGATACTCTTGGCGCATGACTTCTTAGTTTATAATATGTAAGACAGGAAGGCAAATTCCCTTCTTTAAGGAGATAGTATTATTTTATTATCTTTAATGGGAAGCAGATTTGAAATCTATCATAACCTGATGAATAATTATCATCAAGAAGTTCAAGAACACAAAGGAAGTACAGTTCAGCATCAACTATGCCAACATCACAATGGCTATATTTCAACGTTTAGACAATGACTCTATCCATTCTTTCAGCTACTTTCGGGGCATCTGCAGCTAAATCATCCTGGCCCACATCCCAGGGACGATCAGAATATACCTGTGTTCAAATGTCAAATAATCCACAGAAAGCATGATAAGATTTTTTTAACGATCATGGGGGACAGTTCACTAATACAAGCTCTTAAAATTTTCTAAACTAAAAAATTATTTTCTGGTAATGTCTCACAAAACCCTGAGGTAACTAGATAATGGGAGACTCAAGATGTGAACGCATTCATTAGAAACACATAAACAAGTGTATTTGTGTATCTTGTAGCTCCAAGGGGAGAAACGAGCTCAAGAAGTCTACAGGCATACATTACCATGCACGAATCTAATAAAAACAAAATAACTGCATGGGTGAGATCACATCGAAGCCATAGTTGAAGGAAGGAAAGCATCTGATTTTGCACAGATGAAAAGGAGACATTCTTTAAACCAGGCAAAAATAACATAAAGGACTAAAGAGGCAGGGCCAGCAACGAGCATGCGGAGAAAAATTACAAGCAGGCTAACCTGGGGTGTGTTGGTGGCTCTAATAACAGGATTTTCTCAAAAGGGTAATGAAACAGTTCTGAATATGCAGCAAAATTGCAGTGGGTCTACCCTGAAGCCTACAAAAGAAAAACCGTGTCCCCAAGCCTGTTACTTTTTCTTTTATCCTGAGAGCTCCTGGAGCACAGCGTTTACTAATTTTAGTGGAAGGCCCCACAGCCTCCTTTCCTTTGGCCCTGGTGTCATTTATTGTGAGATTAAGATCTTGAGTGATAGGCTGTTTGCCCCTGGAAATTAATATCTTTAGCTACATAATGACCACTAGAAAAAAAGATGTGAACTTTGCGTGCTTTTCCTGATCATAACACAGGAGTGTTTAAGCCGTAATCAATTTCATCCCAAACATGTATTACCTTACACAGATGGCCACTAATGTGCACTATGGGAATTACATATTCAGCAAGTGTTGAAACATGATAAAATTCCCCTGGCATTTATGGAATTAAAAAAAAAAATCCCAACACTAATTTTACTTTCAAAATGTCACTATGCCAAAAGTTATAAAGGTTTCAGGTTGAGGACTCTTTGACATAATGTAGATTTAATTATCACTGAAAAATCATGAAATAATATTTATTCACCCAGTAAAGCCCTCCACAATCTTATTTTCTCTTTCAGATGTTCATAAAGTAGGCGGAATTTTAAAAAGGCACATAATTGTAAAATTTCAACCCTAGTCAAGATAAAAGCCTTCATGCAGAGTACTTAAAACCTGTATGGTAAAATGTATCATGATGGATTTAGAAATTATGTTTTTCCCATTCATTGTATATTTTGCCAAATAACAGAACCTCAGAATGACTTATTACCATGTTAGCAAATGTTTGGTTAGTACTTAGATTTCTTTGTATTTTTAAAAAGTTTGTGATAATGTTCCTAAATGATAAAAAGTTTAATAATCAAACTCAAAAAACAATTTAGGCTTCAGATTACAACATGGACTATTTGGCGGCAGCTTCTTTAAAGACAAAGACAGAATGCTGGTAAGCAAAGTTTTCCCACTAGAGTAAATATAGATAAATACTAGAATAACCTATATTTCAGTATGAAATAAGATTGTGACCAGGAAGATGAAATATTTCCTTACTAGAAAGAATGTACCAGACACTGCTAAGTGCTTTACATTTATTAATTCAGTTAATAGCTTTGAGGAGGTTGAGCAAATTAGGGTCAAATAGAGGTACAGTTGAGCTACGTCGGTACGAACAAAGTCCCAGGAATCAATAAATACCCAAAGGCAGCGAACGAGAAGTAAAACTGAGATTAAAGGAGTTAGGATTTTATTCAAATCATTAGGGTTTTAAACATTTGTATCTGTTCTTCAGTCTTTGGTAATAACTTTGTTTCTCTGAATGGGTTTCAGACTCAGTCCAGAGCCACTCCTGCTAAGGGTACCTATTTGTTTCCACTGGAAGGCTCCGGAATCCCATTTTGGGACTGGCTCCTCTCCAAGCACACCCACACACCTGCCCTCATTCTTTCACAGACATACTCTGGGCAGGTACTTCTGGGTAAGAGGGTGGGATACAACAGTGGGTTCCTTCCTCTGCAGGGAATTTTTATTTTAGAATGTACCCTCAGAGATTCTTCTTTGGATTCCCTCTCATCTTGTTTTCTCATTGTACCTCCTTTCCTTTTACTGGTATCTGTTTCTCCTAGACCCCGGCTGCCTGGCTATCATCAAGCCCCAAGTAATTAGCCATGGGGCCAGGAATCTAGAGTGGTGGTTTTCAGAGTCACCTGAAGGGCTTATTACACACAGATTTCTCATCGAGTAGGTCTGAGGTGAAGCCTGGGAATGTGCAATGGTAACATGCTCTGGGTTTGAGGACCTCACTACAACAACTGCTTTTTTTAGAGCAAGCTTGACAACATTTTTCTGTGAAGGGACAGAGGGTAAATATTGTAGGGTTTGGGGCTTGCTGCAACTGCTCAATTCTGTCGTGGCATGAAAACAGCCAAAGACCATGTGTAACCAAGTGGGTGTAGCTGGGTTCCAATAAAACTTGATTTACAGAGCTAGGCAGTGGGTGCATTTGGCCCTTGTGCTGGAGTTTGCAGACCCCTGGTGCAGAATGCTGTGAGCAGCCCATTTCTGCACTGGGTTCCACCCTGACTGACT